TTTAGGTCTTCTCTAATGTCTTTCAACAATGTTTTGTAGTTTTCACAGTATAGGTTTATACTTCTTTCGTTAAACTTTTTCCTAAATATTTTATTCTTTTTGATGCTATTTTAAATAGAATTATTTTCTTAAATTCATTTTTGGTTTGTTCATTGCTACTGTGTAGAATACAGTTGATTTAGGTATATTGTCTTTTATATCTTGCAATCTTGTTTAACTCATTTATTAGATCTATGAGTTTTTTAGTGGATTCCTTAGGATATTCTATGTATAAGATTACATCGTCTGTAAATTGAGATAGTTTTACTTCTTTCTTTGCAATCTAAATTCATTTTTATTTCTTTTTCTTCCGTAACTGCACTGGCTAAAACCTCCAGTATAATGTTGAATCAAAATGGTGAGAGTAGACATCCTTGTCTTGTTCCTTATCTTAGGGGAAACCATTCAGTCTTTTCCTTTTAAGTATGATATTGTGTTTTTTAATAGATGCCCGTTATGAGGTTGAAGAAGTTTATTTCTATTCCTATTTTGTTGAGTGTCTTATCATGAAAGGTCTTGACTTCTATCAAATGCTTATTCTGTATCTATTAAAATGATCATGTTGCTTTTATCTTTTATTCTAGTGATATGGTGTGTTATATTGATTGATTTTCAAATGTTAAACCAAGCTTGGATTTTTGGGAAAAATCCCAATTGATCGTGATGTGTAATCCTTTTTATATATATATATATTTTTTAAGGTTTTTTTTTTTTTTTTTTATTTCAGCAAATTATGGGTGTACAGATGTTTAGGTTACGTGTGTTGCCCTTGGTTCCCCGCCACCGAAGTCCGTGTTTCAAATATGTCCATCCTTCGGGTAGTGCGCATTGCACTCCTTGTGTATACAAATACCCGTCCCCTCCTCCCTCCTCCCCCCTCCTCCCGCCGCCCTTCCCGTGGTACAGATGATTAGGTTAGGTGTGTTGCCCTTGGTTCCCCCGCCACCGAAGTCCGTGTTTCAAATATGTCCATCCTTCGGGTAGTGCGCATTGCCCTCCTTGTGTATACAGATACCCGTCCCCTCCTCCCTCTTCCCCCCTCCTCCCGCCGCCCTCCCCCTTCCCCCGCATCCAATAGATGTTGTTCTGATATGTGCATTTATGTGTTGATTAGTTAATACCAATTTGATGGTGAGTACAAATGGCTGCTAGATTCAGTATGCTAGTATTTTGTTGAGAATTTTGTGTTCACATTTCTAAGAGATATTGGTCTACAGTTTTATTTTATTTTCATATCTTGTATGGCTTGATATCAGTATAATATTTCATGGATTGAGTTGAAAAGTGTTCCCTCCTCTTCTACTTTTTGGAAGAGATTGTGAAGAGTTAGTATTAATTCTTTAAATATTTGGTAGAATTCACCAGTGAAGCTAAAAAAAAGTTTAGGATATTTTTGTTGTTGTTGGAACTTTTGTGATTACTTATTCAATCTAATTTATATATTTATATTCAGTTTTAAAAATTTATTCTTTAGTCAGTTCCAGTAGTCTTTCTAGTAGTATGTCTTTCTAGAAATTTGTCCATTTCATCTAGGTTATCTAATTTGTTGGCATATCATTGTTCATATTATTCCCATATGATTCTTTTTATTTCTATAAAGTTGTTAGTGATGTTCTTTCTTTCATTCTTGATTTTAATAATTCAAATTTCTCTTTTTTTCTCGGACAGTTCAGCCAAAGTTTTGTGAATTTTCTTGATTTTTTTCCAAGAATCAACTTTTGTTTTTATTTTCTCTATTGGTATTCTATTCTCTATTCCATTAATTCTTTCTCTAATCCATATTATTTCCTTCGTTTTGCTTGCTTTGGGTGTAGTTTGCTCTTCTTTTTCCACTGTCTTAAGGTGGAAGACTAGGTTCTTGATTTGAGATATTTCTTTTTTTTTTAATATAAGCATACAGATTTTCCTCAAACACTGCTTTAGTTGCATTTCATAAGTTATGGTATGCTATGCTTTTATTTTCACTCATCTCAAAATATTTTCTAATTTCCTGTGTGATTTTCTCTGTTACTCATTGGAGTATTGGGAGTATGTTGTTTACTGTCTATGAATTTTTGAGTTTCCCAAATATGCTTCTGTTATTGACTCTAATTTTATTCCATTGTGATCTGAGAACATATTTATATGAATTTACTCTTTTAAAATTTATTTTGGCTTGTTTTATGTTCTTGGATATAGTACAGGCTGTTCTAGAGACTATCCCACATGCACTTGAGAAGAATGTGCATTTTGTTATTGTTGGATGGATTTTTTTTATAGGTATCTTTTATGTATAGTTGATTTATACTGTTGTTCAAGCCTTTTATTTCTTTGTTGATTTTCTACTTAGTTGTTCGATTCACTGTTCAAATTTGCATATTGGAGTCTCCTATTATTTATTCTTGAACTGCCTATTTCTCTTTTCAAAATTGTCATTTTTTTGGTTTTTGTGTTTTGGTGGCTTTTTTGTTAGCTGCATATGTGTTTATATTGTTATATCTTCCAAATTCCTTGACACTTTTTTTGTTATAAAATATCTCCTTTTTCTCTGGGAATATTTTTTTGTTTTAAAGTCTATTTTGTCTGATATTAATATAGCCACTCCAGCTTCCTTACGGCATGATATATCTCTTTCCATGCTTTTATTTTCAACGTATTTGTATTTCTGAATCCAAGTATGTTATCAGGACTCTCTCAATTAATGTTTAAAATT